CACATCCCATGACGGCAGCTCCACCAACTCCTCTACCACCTTCCACATGATCTTAGAAGAATGGATCTCCAAAATGACCTAGTTACTGAATCAGGCCCAGACCCAGATCCCAACTCAAACTATAACCTATGAATCTTCCGCTGCATAGATTGGCATCAAGTTGGATGGCGCCAACTATGCCATATGGTCCCAAGTTGTTGAGATGCATATCTCAGGCAAAGACAAATTAGGATATATAAATGAAGAACTACCACAACCTCCCAGATAGACCCAAGGTTCAACAAATGGCTAACAGAAAATTCTATTGTGAAAGGATGGCTAATCAATTCTATGGAGCCGAAATTGATTAGTAATTTTATTCACCTTCCCACTGCAAAAGCAATATGGGATGCAATTGCCACAACTTACTTTGATGCACCAATATATTTCAGATGTATGATCTTAAAAGGTGAGTATCCAGACTGAGACAATCATGTGGCTCTATTGAAACGTACTACAATACCCTCCATGGTTTGTGGAGAGAGATTGACTTTCGTCGTCCTAACCCAATGCAGTGTGAGTCGGTGAACAAGAGGTATAATGAAATTATTCAAGAATATCGGGTTTATACTTTTTTGGTTGGATTAAATGATCAACTTGACAAGGCTCGAAGCGATGTACTCCAAATGAACCCATATCCCACGGTGGAGCAAGCTTGTGCATATTTTCGTAGGAAAGATATCTGACATGAATTAGTTCATTACGTGTAATTACCAATAAATTAAACGTAGTGGAAAAAAGAGCAGGCAAATGAAATCTTTATTTGATGATTTCTTTGCAATCTTACCCATTTATGTTTGACCGTCTAAGTATAGTGGTTTAAAATTTTCAAAGGAATATTTTATAATATATTTCTTAGCAGTCCTTATAAATCCATGAATGGTTGCTGCCATAAAGAGAGAAACTGGGTGTACAATTTCTAGCAATGAACTTTTCTTTTAGGCTTATTTACACCACTGTCCCTTGAAACTACGGTAAATCTCACATTGCCCCTCAAACTTAAAGTGGCATTCTCACCCCGCTTGACTGTGGTTTGGTGATCCACTTTGCCCCTGCCGTCAACTCCGTCAAAAAGTCTGTTAACTTTGATGACGTGGCAGAGATGTTTTTGTAATTTCGTACACATGAATCATTATCCACCAATTGAGAGGGCGAGGGGCAAATGGAGCCCAATTTTTTAAAGACATGGATTCCATGTGGACAAAATAAATAATAAATAACTTTTCAATTAACAAAATTAAATTTAAAAAAAAATATCAAACCGAGCAACATTCTTCTCCTCCCCCTCGTCTCAACCCTACACACCCAACCCCCCGCCGCCTCCCTACCCACACAACCCCACCTCAATCTCCCCAACCTACGCACCTCCCTAACCCTCAAACCCAATAGCCCTGACCTACCCAAAGCACCTCTTTGATTGAGGCGCTGCGAAGAAATTGACGATGGGAAATGGGTTTGAGAGGAGGGAGAGCGGAGGAGGAAATGGAAATGGGTTTCATACCTTGTTTGTGATGTTTGACACATGAGGGTTAGATGTTATGGTTAGTTGATAACTCGATAGGTTCTTATGGGATCTCATTGGATGGCTATGAGGTTTGATTTTATACTGTTTTGAGCATGCAATGGAATGTTGAATTTCAAAATTGTCTATCTGGATCTATTGATTTGCAGGAGATATAGTAATAGTATTGCGGATGGCTTTGAGCTTATGCTTGCACCCTTTTAGTCTGCATATGCACTCCATTTGTAAAGGTTTTCATTGGTTTGCTGCATACAGATTAATTATTGTTTTTGGTTATTAAAAAAAAACAAAAAGAGAGGGAGAGAGAGGAAGAAGAGAGAGAAGGAGAGAGTGGGGCGAAGAGGGGTGAATCTGTGGGTGGGGTTTGTATGGCTTAAATGGTGGTTGAAAGGGGGTATGTGATTTGGGGTTGGGTGCTAGAGGTTGATGGTGGGCAGTCTCCGGGGGAAGAGGTGGTTGGAGTTGGGGTAAGGAGGTGGTCGGAGATGGGGTGGGGCTGCTGAAATTTATGGAGAAAATTTTCAAGTTCTGGGTGTGTTGTGGGTTGTGTGATTGGGTGGGGGTTTGGATCGGATTTGTTGCAGAAGGTGGTGGGTGGGCATATGCCGTAGACAGGACTAGTTGGCGGCTGTTTGGGGTTTTGTTTTTGAAAAGATGGTCGGAAGATGGGGCGCGTCTAGAGGCAAAGAGAGAGGGAGGGAGAGATGAGGAGAGAGAGAATGAGAATGAGAGAGTGGTGATTTTTTTTTCTTTCTGTTTTTTAAATTTTTTAAATTTTTTAAAGAATTTTTTATGTTTGTATTTTAATTTTTAATTATTTTAAATTACTAGAATATTTAATTATGTGGAGGTGGGCTCCACTTGCCACATCACCCATTTAATTGGTGGATAATGATTCATGTGTACGAAATTACAAAAACACTCCTTCCACGTCATCAAAGTTATCAGACTTTTGGACGGAGTTGACGGCAGGGGGCAAAGTGGGTTACCAAACCTCATTCAAGTGGGGTAAGTGAGCCACTTTAAGTTTGAGGGGCAATGTGAGATTTGATCATACTTACAGGGGGCATTGGTGTAAATAAGTCTTTCTTTTATCAACTCAAAGCCTAGCACGTGCAAGAACTTTGGTAAGCCCCATAAATCCTATCAGCTCCTCATGTACCATAAAATAAAGGATTGCAGGGAAGTTGATATCTTTTCTTGATATCAACTTATATAAAGTAAAATATAAATGCTCAATGCTAATTAACCAATTGTAATTTCATTAGTAATCGCTAACTACTCGTTTCTGTCCAACCTTGGTACAATTTAGGCTTCTTATTTAGGTCCAAAACGATTAGCTGTTATTGGATTTAGTCCACACGTTTTTGGTTCTAGATATAGATCATTTGACATTTATTACTTTTTTTGCTGTGTCGATTTTACCCTTGAGGTAAATAAGGAAAACACATTGAAAATCTAAATTTAATGCATTAAATCCTTGTAATTGAATTTCAGAATTTAAATTTTGAATTCTTTCCTTCTCTATTCAATGACAAAGTCATAAATGGCTAATTATTATCACATAAATTACTATTACTCGATTCAAGGCATAATGGGCAACATTGGAACAAAAAAAGATTTTAAAAAATAAAAATAAAAAGATTACATCATAATATATTAAAAAATGAATGTAATGCTATGTGGCACAAGAGTCAAATGGCTTGTATCAAAGTTGCCAAATCCGAGGATTAAACCCAACTTCTCAATGAAAATTTGAATCTATATCAACTTTTCTATTAAAATTATAAAGCGTTTGTTGTTTCAATGTTGATTGTGCTTAGTTCCGAATGAATATCAAGGTTGCATCTGCCAAAAGTGAAGCAAGAGGGGCTTCTCATCAAAGTGATACGGATGGGAAGCCCATCTTGCTAACTTCACCTGCAATGCAAACCATGACCTGCGCTGCCTTTCTTCCTCTCCAAAGTGGAACAAGAAAGCTATCGAAATATATAGTAATGTTTTTGGTCAGATTTTATCTGCAACACTTAGATTTTTGGGCTCTTGTGCAAGATCCAAAAGTTGATATACATATACAGAACTTGAAACAAAATTTTCACTAGTTTTGCGTGAAAATACATAATAGATTGCATATGTAGCAGTTCCAGAAATCAGACAAATCTTTCACCGGTCGAACGTGATAATATAGAGAGCACACACATCAGTTACAAAAATTAAAATCTAATCAAAATAACTTATGACACAATTCTGATTAAACTACATATGCTGGATGAACCTCTACTAAGAACTACAAATGAAGCTTAAATTAGATTATGTTCAAGCGACTTCATGGTTCCAATGATTGAGAAAACCAGGACAAAAAGTCCAAGTATAGTTGAGCTGCCTGTCCAAAGATCCTTGAAGTAAACTCCTTTCAGGATTGCCACATGACGGTTCCAAAAACTGATCCCGTAGTGCTTATTAAGCTGCCCACAGACACCACCATAGCAGGATACATCATCCATAATCTGCACACAGAGTTTATTGATCAGGTTTGCCACAGTTTCGTTGCAGCCTATCTTGTTAACAAGAATTCCACTCTCAATCAGCAAATTCACATCTTCCACAGTGTCCACAAGTTTATCCATGAACAAAAAGTATTCGCAAATATAAGCAGAGTCTGGATACTGAAACTGCTCCAACGCCATGACATTTCGGACGACGCATTCTGTCTCATCCTTGACACAGAATAGTGTAAGCTTCAAGTCCATACTTGTAAAACATGCTAAGTTGAAATTACAATCGTGGGATTCATCTCCTTTAATGACAAACCCTACTTCTTTAAGTAGCCTAAAGTTCACCCCCGCGGCCTTCAACTTTCTCGCGTCATATATATTTTTTATAGGAGTATCTACCCAAGTCATTTCTTCTGCAGGGCACAAAAAATGTCTTACCAAATCAGTGAAATGTTTTATAGTTACTCCATTCCTGACAGATTTTCCTTTACTGTATCTGTTGAAGAACTCACATGTAAGCTTGAGAAAGGGATGAACAGATTCGGCGGCTTCAACAGTTAACACAGAATGATCTTTGAGGTGGCTTCTACCACGGCAAGGCAAGCAGTAACATATTTTATCAAGATCAAAACATCTCTGTTGTCTATTGTCCTGTTCTTGTGCTTGCACTTCGCTGCGGGGATAAAAACAAGAGACCGGCATGGCAAAGTTGTACAGGTCTTGAAGAAGAAAATAAGGAAGCTGATTTTCTAACAGTATGAGGTCCTGCTCTACAGCTTTCCTCAGCCACCGTGATCTTAAAATGTGATAATCATTTTCAGGGTTTTCAGAATCCATCATAAAGAGCTGAATGATGAAGAGGGCATCAACTAGAATTACCTCCGAAAAGTCGAAATTGTCACCCTGATTAATTGTCCCTGCATAACAACTAAGAATCTTTCCTTGACGATCTCTGATGAAACTTTTTAGTTCCTCCTTACTCCTTAAAGTACCTGTGAAAAAATTCTCACAATATATTCTTTTATGGTTCTCCATGTCCTTGAGTTCTGGTTTGCCATGGTGGAAAGGGCCTATTGAAATTAATTGAGGAGTGTATGCTGCTTCATTTACTTTACGGAGTTTATTGGGAACCCTATAGATACACCTCTTGTCAGGCTGGTAGAAAAATGGTACCGCGTCGGCCCATTCTGGTTCAGTCTCTGCTCTCTGATCCTCCATATATGAAGTCGTCTTTTTCCTAGTGACAATGAAACTAAAATTATTACTACATAGGAAGTGACAGTCTGCTTCACCAGCAAAATTCCAGTATTCAAGAATGTCATCATTCATTCAAATGTTCTAGAATTTTGTCGTTAGTACCACATCCGGATGCATTAATTAGAATCTAAAACTAACTTAGAATTCTAGTACTACGAGTTTAAAATGTCAATAGACAAGTTCCTAGCTAGTTCATAAATTTTCAATGTGTTTTGTTTACATTTCAAAGGTAAATTCATCAGATTGAAGGGCCATCTATACGTCTTCAACTCGTTGGATCTTCGAGCTCCATTGAATTTTTTTATTCTCATCTCCTAAGTACCTCTTATGTTCCTAAATTTGAAGTAAATAAGAAACAGCAAATTAACACAAATATATTTTCGGTTATATAAACTGAAATCCTTATAGAAAGCAAATTAAGCAATCTTCAGTATAGCCAATTCTGCAGTAGAAACAAAATGTAGCAGAATGAGTGGAGCAAAAAGAACCTGCAAGTTTACTCGGGGAAATGCAATGGCATCTCTGCCGGTGGTTGAGGTTTCTTGAGCTACCACATGTGTTGTCTGCTTGGCCTGTTGCTAGCTAGCGAGAGCTAGGCTTGTCATTGGCCCATTGAAAACAAAAAATTAGGGTTCACAAAAGGAACCAGATCCAAAACTTGGATCCGTTGACAGTCGAGATGTGGAAAAGTGATGTGTTAAACTAAAGTACTTAAACCAAATCCTGGTTCGCTTGACGATCAAATGGGGACAAGCTAAACGTAAACCAAGACTAGATGCTGTTTGACTAATAAGTAAATGATGTGTGTCATGGGGAACATCATCATCAGACACATCTTTTTCCTGTCGTGCATTCAGTCAGAATTTTAGTGTTTCTTTTTTCTTTGGGAAGGGGAAGGGAGTGCAAGAGTTGACCTCTCTCGACTTATATCTTACCACACATTGCTTGGTATTAAAATGTGGTAAGACATAAGTCATAAACTTACTTGAGTGTAATTGGGTGTATTCACTACTACAAAAAACACTTTGCGCGACGAATGATTTTTGGTCACGCAAAGGAAAATTTCGTCGCGCAAAGTTTGTGCGACGAAATTTTGGTCACGCAAGTTCTGTCGCGCAAAACTCGTGGAGAAAGGGTTTGCGCGACGGCGAAAATTATTCGTCGCACAAAGCCACTTTGCGCGACGAAGGATAACAACTTGCGCGACGAATCATGACGACTTTGCGCGACGAAAATAACAACTTTGCGCGACGAATATTAATTACTTTAAGCGACGAATATTAAATACTTTGCGCGACGAAAGTTAATGTCGCGCAAGTGTACTTTGCGCGACGAATGTGAACGTCGCGCAAAGGTTTGCGCGACGAAATATTCTTTTTTTTTAAATTTTTTGTTTTTTGAAAATTTTAAACGAAATATTTTGTCGCGCAAGGTTTTTGACATTTTTTATTATTATTTCTCTTATATCAATTTCATTATATTAATTTTTAAAATTTGATTTAATTGTATGATTTTATTTGTCTTAATTACTTTAATTTAAATTGACATATTCAAAATAAAATTACATAAGAAAAATAGTGGTCAAATTATCCAATATACATAATATTCAAAATGTACACTTAAATTAACAAAGTACAATAATAAAATCTACAAGC